ATTTAGCTGGACATTCTAGCAAATAAACAATCACAAGTCATATTAAAAAGCATGTTAAATGTACCAAACGATAAAGTTAATAATGAACTCTTCCTTCTTCCTTGGTGTTGAAACCAATTTCTAGGCCTTTGAACTGTGTAGTTTTCGTCTCCAGGAACTCCCTCAATCAGCCAAAAGTCCCCAATTCGGTGGTTTGAGTGATCTGTTTATACTTTCCCCGACATTAGAGCACCACGTAGTGGTAGATCCACCACGCCATGGTAATCGTGTTTATCTCGTATTCTCCAAGTCTTCTAAGCTTATCGGGATTCTTCAAGTTGCCAAATCGTGGTGCATTCACCACGACGTGGTAGGGGTATATTTTCTTCATTTTAGAGCTTTGGTTCAAACTTCCAACTTCAAACATCCAGCTTCCAGCTTCCTTTTAGCTCCAAGCATGTCTTTTGGTCCCTACAACATAATTCATAACAAATTAAGTATATTTTGTTCTAATAAGGGCATAAAAGTAATTAAAATAGTAAGATATGTTATCAAAAGTATGTGTATAGATGTGCACATATCATTACGGACAATCGAAAATTCAAATTTCCTTTATGTTCTCGCTCGTTCGTTTTCATCGAAGAGTCGAAGTCGAGTAGTCGACACTCGACCCTTCCCGTTGCCTTGCAGATTCGTTAACACATGTGACGACCAACTCTGAATTCAGGTAAGAATAAGTATGTTTTTTTGCTCATTATATTCAAAGCACACCTATGACCTATTCAGTGGTCACAATCTCGTTTTAACCGTTAACACTGAACCTCAAATGTTCAGTGTCCACAAAGTATTTTTTTATAGTCGATGAATCTGATTTGTTTAGAATCCTGTTTTTTACCTAATCTGTTTATTAGTTTAGAATCCCGTTGAAACTGTGACCTGTTGTTTACCTGATTAGTCTAAAATCATGTTATTGAACTGTTGAATCTGATCTGTTTTTACCTGATTAGTTTAGAATCTGATTACCTGATCTGATTACCTGTTTAGTCTAAAATCCTATCTAAAATCTTGTTGTTCAACTTTTACCTGATCTGTTTTGGAACTATTGAATCTAATATCCCATTGGTTGTTATCTTGATTCTTGTGGATCAAGAAGGTGGGACACATATTAATGATATGTTTGATGAAGATGGAGATGAAGTTGTGGTTCAAAAAGGGCAACGCGTACACCAGCATATCCCCATTTTACAAAAATTAAATTGAATGGTGAAGTTAAAACAAAATGCAAGCATTGCTCTAAAGTATTGGGTGCAGATTACAAGAATGATTTAGTTTGATTTTGAGTTTGTTTAACATTTTGTAGGAAAACACTAAAGAAAGCGGGACAACAAGCTTGGATGATGTTGCTTGATTTTGAGTTTGATTTAATGTTTACATGTAATGTACTATTGTGATGAATTTAGTTACAATATTAGACTTTAGTAATTTCTATTTGGTTTACTTATGTTAAGAACTTATTTGTATTTTAAGCCTTTGTAAGGTTTTAATTCCTCAATTGTTTCATTGTAGTTTTCCAAATTTTTTCTGCCATCATTTTTGGGTTTTCGGGTCTATATCAGGTTTCGGGTTTAGGGTCGGGTTCGGGGAAATTTTTTGCCCCGACGGGGCGCCCCGATAAGAAACTCGTCGGGTTTTGGGTCGAGGTCGGGGACAAATATAAATATCGGGTTCGGGTATGGGATATGCAGCCCCGCCCCGAACCCGCCCTGTTGCCATTCCTAAAGAGTTTCCTTCAACCCCCTCAAGAACCAGGTACAAGATTTGGCATTATTTGCCACGCTCATACCAAATGTTATATGGAGGGTCTGGTTGTTCCTGTCCGTAGCAACCGCTACGAACATTGTCTTTAGGTAGTCCCGACGGACACTACCAATGAAGATTACAGGCAGCAAGCAACATATAAATGCATGGAGCTGTATTTTTTGGAAAAATAAAACAATTATTTTTAGGTGTAGAAACGTTATAATTTTAAAGAAACAATAAAAATATAGAACAAAAAATTTTACCACGCATCTAGTAGCCACAAAACAGGGTTAGAAACGATCATCACATCAGTTTTGATGTTCGTGCAAGTATAAGGGTTGGTTCACCTAAGGTTGTATAAGTAAACGGATAAGTTGGTAAAGTTTTCTTCATGCTCACTCTCTGAGAAACTAATATTGAAGCAGTTATAAGAGCTAGATACAGACGATCTAAAATAAGTGTCTAACTACATGAGTCCGGGAATGTCTGGAATGTGTGTCTGAAACAAGTGTTCGTGACTCCCTATTGTCACATCAAATTAGAAAGATGACAATCGTACTTAGATCCTTGTTTCGGACGGACTTACTCCGGAATGTACAGAGTTTCTTGTTTCGGATCAAAAACTTCATAATGAATAAGAGAAAGTGGACATTTTACAAAAACAAAAAAAACAAAAAAAAAATAATAAGTTTGTTATTTTTATTTGAATAGTCGTTTATATGGGTTAGATTACTCAATTTCTCTTATTTTATTATAATACTAGTTTATAACCCGTGAGAACCACGATTATAAAATTAATTAAACTTTCATAGTAAAAACTCAAAATTATTTATCAATTATTTCAACTAAATTATTTTAAATAAATTATTAATTAAGAGATATTTTTTTAGTTATATAAAATTATAATCGTTAACTTAAATAAATAAATAAAATTATATCACCTTATAATATGTATTAATTTTATTTTATTTTTTATTATAATGTTATTAATTTAATGTAATTAGAGTATGAAACTTAAATTTTGAAATTTGAAATGAAGAATCAATTATTAATATAATGTAATTAGAGTGGAATATTTTAAATTTAAAATTTGAAATAGAGAATTAATAGATTGACATGTGGCATATAATATTAATGAGGATTTCTAATATTGTGACACTTGTCAATAGAATAATAAACTTATTCGTTTATTAGAATAGAGATAATAGATTTATAGATAGATAATAAATGTTTATTTTATAATATCTTTCAAATAATAAAACTATATACATCAAATTATTATAAAAGTTA